CAAGTAAAATAGGATGTAATGGATAATTTACACAACAGGTAGGACACTTAAACATCTAGTACTTAGATAGAGATATTATTTATTTTCTGGAGCTTTCAAGCCAGCAAGAGTGTTATTGTCCCTTTAAATCAATGAATGAAACAATCTGATGAAAATACAGATCTATATTTCTTTTCGTTTTTTTATACTTTCGATGGCCTACACTACATGAAGATCTAGCTAGTTGTACTGGAAGGTCATACGAGCGGCTTTTGACCCTGTGATGTCAGACATTTGATTAACCAATAAGCATTGATGTTTCTAGTGGATTACCCACAGTTCTGTGATCCTCACCCCAAAAGCTCGCCTTAACAGACCGTTTCTTTGGCTAATCCCTCACTTCAACCAGAACGCTGGTAATATAACAACTCTTCTAGATCCTAGTGTAGTAAAGATAAATAAAACGAAATTTTGAACTATAAAAAACAGAAACCAAATAGGATCTGTGTTTTAACCAGATTGTGAATGTAATATAGTTTTATGGCACGTCAGCTCCAACCGGGCTATGTTGATATAAATTTAATCCATACACCTCTCTACCAGTTCGCTAGAGTAGAAAGCATAATTGATACAGCACATTAGGGCAGAGTACAGAACAATCGAACCATCCCTATATATACAAACACAGTCTATACAACACATTAGGACAGACAGTACAGAATAATCGAACCAACCCTATATATACAAACACAGTCTATCCAGCACATTAGGACAGACAGTACAGAACAATCGAACCATCCCTATATATACAAACACAGTCTATACAACACATTAGGACAGACAGTACAGAACAATCGAACCATCCCTATATATACAAACACAGTCTACCCAGCACACCTCATAGATCACTGCTATATTATTAACATCAATACATGTACATTGATTTTTATTTCACAACTAATACATCATTGAAATATCTCCTGTCCGTTGAGATTACCATCAGACTAATTCAATTTAACAATGTCATTTTGATTTATTGCTTGAGATTTTTCTGCTGTCTGACAGCAAGGTTGAGAATTTAGTATTTAAAGACGTTTCTTCGTTTCAATATTTTTTTTTGAGGGTCAAAGTATTTTTATGTTTTCCATGTCATGGATAAATAGCAATACGAGAAGCCCTTTGATAGGGGTCATTAGGACAAGCAAAACAATTCCATCATGTTTAACAATAAAATGTCACAAAAAAAAAACCTGACTGGAAAAACCTTATAAGACTTCCATGAGGGATGCGTGAATCTTAATTCCAATATGGTTTCTCCATATGACTAGCAAAACATTACACCAGGCCATCTTATTATTTAAACTAACAAACATGATCTGTTGTTGAGTGTTCACAAGGTCTTAATGACAAGGGCAATAACTAATTTGTGTTTGAAACCTTCTCTGAGCATGTTCCCTATCACACAATTGATATGCCGTGTAAACAACCTGTGTCTACACACGAAGCTATGATACCACGGAGGACTGAATCTTGCATGTGCGCGCTGTATCGTAAGGTCTGTCATTGAGTCAACTGGTGTGGTTTCGATTCCCCGGTTGTACGTGACAAGGAGTAGGGTCGCCTGTCCAACCTCGCGGGTTTTTTCTGGGTCCTCCTGTTTTCTCCGACTGCTCAGCGAATTATTGAAATAAAATTGAATCATATGTTAGTCCCAAAATGACCCAGTTTGTGTCAAGTAGACATTAAACCCCATTTCTCTCTTCTTTTCTCTCTCCCTCTTCCTTTCTCTCTCCCTGTCCGTTTCTCTCTCCCTCCCTCTCTCTCTCTCCCAACCCCCTCCCATCTCTCCCTCTCTCCCTCTCTCTCATCACAATTTGGCTCAAATTAGACTTCAAAGAGAAGAGATAACTATCAAAGAAATAGATTGGTTCTAAATGTAATAAATGAAAATGGTTTTTAAATCAGAAGACTATATTTCATTGTTATAGATGTGGTTTCTTAGACATGTTCGGAAAACTAGTTTTATGAGCCTGGAAACCTCAAAGGATCGAAGAATAACAAATATCAATTAAACAAATAAACCGCATAAAAAAAGTGCTTTGTTAACATCTCAAAACAAATATGGTTTCATTCAATAGTATAAAGATAGGTTGCCAAGCAACAAAACATATGCCTACAAAAGTTCAATCGTCCCAGCAGTTTACAAAAATTGTTGGATATTTATTCTTTTGTAGATGAAAGGGATTTCTTAATCTCATGCATATAAACACTATGTCTAATTTTCAAATCAATAGGGTAAAAACTGTAGTCACTAGAGTGTACACAAGATTTTAAAAAGTGATCAAGGGCAATAAATCTAAAGGTAATTATCAGTTTCTGCATCTCATGGACATAAACACTGTGTATAAATTTCATGTAAATTGGATGATAACTTTAGCCTCTGATTAGATTCACAATGGTTACAAAATGGCTATACTATTAATCAATTTCATTTCAACAAAAAACACCACACAGGTGAAATTTCTACTAAATCTGGCTGTAATCAATCAAAAAGTTTAGGAGAAATGGAACATTTGTGAAAAAATGTAAATTTTCTCTCTTAAGCCACTCCCAATTCAACATGCCACTATGGCACCAATCTACTGAACATTTGAGAGAGAGAGAGAGAGAGAGTCGCTTGTCCAACCTTGTGGGAATCAAAACTATGCAAGACGCTCAACTGTGCAACGCTGTGTAACTAAGCTAGTTGCATTATAAAAATAGATAGAGACAGAAATGGGGTTTAACGTCCACTCAACACAAACTAGGTCATTTCAAGACTAACACAGGGTTCAATTTTATTTCAATAATTCGCTAACGTGTAGGGTTCTGTTCTCAAGAGGAGCTAACTGCAGAGTTCACTCAACACAAACTAGGTTATTTTGGGACTAACATATGGTTCAATTTTATTTCAATAATTCGATTGCGCGTAGGGGTCTTTAGTAATGGGAGGAAACCGGAGGACCCGGAGAAAACCTACAAGGTTGGACAGGCGACCCTACTCCTTGTCACGTACAACTGGGTAATCGAAACCCCACCAGCTGACTCAATGACAGACCTTATGATACAGCGTGCACATGCTAATAACCATTCGGCCATCCAACCTCCCGCATTATAAAAATAATCAGCTAACAACCCATTTGTAATTTTCACATTAATTCTACGCACGTAATGGTCTAGGTACATATATCAATGATACATCATATCTCTGGTCTGATCAATCAATAATTCAATCTCATCTAATTAATTTCTCTCTCCAATATCAGTTTTTTAATAGAGAATCTGCTGACATGCAATAATTGATGAATCAGTACTCTATATAACATAATGGTGGATAACCATTAAGGTAGTGGTGGGATGTTACTTACAACATCAGATTATAGTAATTATGATGGGAGAGAGAGAGAGAGGGAGAGAGAGAGAGAGTGAGCGGGTTTAAGGCAGTGGTGGGATGTTACAACATCACATTAAGGTAGCTATGATGGTAGGGGAGAGAGAGAGAGAGAGAGAGAGAGGGAAAGAGAGAGAGAGAGGTGAGGGGGGGGGTAAGTCCACTGGACACAAACTAGGTCATTTCGGAATTAAAAATATGGTACAATTTTTTTTAATTCGCTTTTATGTAGGGTTTGGCTAAGTGGCTAAGACGCTGGCTCGCTTGCCTGAAGGTCTGGTGTTTGATCGCTGCATTGGGCGAGAAAGTTCATCCAGATTTTCCGGCATGGTTTCCCCTTGTCAGTGATGGAGGACGGAGGGCCTGACAAGGACAGCTGTCTAGTCGTTCGGATGGGACGAAAAACCGAGGTCCCGTGTACATATTGGCGTGCACGTAAAAGATCCCTTGGCATTTGGAATTCGATATAAGAGTAGGCCGTAGCGCCGCTGCCCAGGCAAAATTTCCCTCGTAGGACACTGTATGGCGTATGCCCGTCTTCATTAGCCCAGTTTAGGAGCAGAACAGTAGGACGTTAAACCCCATTTCATTTCATTTCATTTCTTTAGCCGTAGGAGGAAACTACAACATTGAGCAGTTGTACAAGCCGGGGACCCAAACCATGCAGCGTGACTCCATGACAGACCTTATAATCTAAAGTGCATGTGTGAAGAACAGAAGATTTCGACACAGACTTATTACGCAATGTTTTTGAATTGATTTGATCTGATCTAACTAGGAAGAGATGTCTCCTTATCTGATCGTTTGTATGCCAAGTCGAGGCACTGAAGTGTCATCTCACATGATATACTAAAGTTCCATAATACCTATTATGTCTGATGAAATTTTATTTGTCGGAAAAGACAGTGACAAGTAATTAAGTGAACCTGCAAATAAGGTACCTGTCACAGGTAAGGTACCTTAACAAAAAAACCTGGTGTCTTCTCATTTTGTCAGGCACTGTTTTTTTTTTTTTATTGATATTATTAATAAATGCCTGACCTTTAAAAAAGAGAAAGACAGAGAGAGAGAGAGAAATGGGGTTTAACATCCACTAGACACAAACTTGGTCATTTTGGGACTAACACATGGTTCAATTTGATTTTAATTAATTCGCTTGTGCGTTGGGGTCTTCAGCAGTGGAAGGAAACCGGAGGACCCGGAAAAAACACACACTATAATAGTTAAAAACTAAATATGGTAAAGGGAATTTGCTGAAAATTTCAGTCAAATTGATTCACTCTGAACCGAGATTTTCGCAATTGAATTTTGGGCCTAGCCTCGATCATCATTCCTAAAGTCAGATCCATTTTTTTATTTAATCATGAATGAGCATTGAGCAGCAAATCGGATCCTAATCAAGTAAATATCGCAGGCTAGCGATGCCATCGAGAGTTGATTATGGCCCGGATAAGTTAATTAATATCTAATTAATAATTTAGATACTATTTCCGGCCTCAAGAAAGACGTGCAATAGGCAGATTTAGCTCTTGCATAATGTATGTTTAACAGATGTGTCTCTAATAATAATTGTAATGAGTAGACATATTACCTCCTTTTTTAAAACCCCACTGGGACAATCTTTCATAAAATCTCTGTACCTGCAAATATTTTAGAGAAATTTCTTAGTACAAAATAATATCGTAATTAAAATTTAAATATAATCAACAGTGTATGTTACTCAGTATGAGATAGAAAATATTAATCAAGAAGCTTTCTTTAGAAATATCCTTTTAAAATATTAATCCAGAAGCTTTTTTTTTTTTTTAGAAATATCTTTTTAAAATATAACTCTCATGTCGGAGAATGACATTCATTATAAATACATTAGACTGCCATTTTCTTCTCATTTAAAATTTCAGACTCTTTTCTTCTTTTTTTCCAATAATTTCATAAAAAAATAATCATAAAATGTCTTACCACTGTTGTAGTTCTTTCTTTTCAACTGAAAAATATTTTTGAAAGATTTAATTACAGTACTATTCTGGACCAGCAGATGCCATAAAAAGTAATCGATAATAATAACTTTCTTAAAGGAAGCGTGTCTTAATCAATCTTAGGTAAATCTATTTCTGAGTATCGCAAAATCATACTGATATAGATTTAATTGGCAAGACTAATTCACTTCATAATAATCATCGTTCATATTACAGATAGATATATATTTAAAGAATACCAATAAAAACAATTAGGTCAGAACCCGCAAAACTTATCTTTTTTATCTGAATATATGATATTTCTAATTCAAATGAAGATAGGATGTTAGGCAACGAAACATAAACAAAAAAAAACATGTCAAGGGCAGGATTCGTTACAATTTGATAAGCTTTTTACTAGAACTGGTATGGTCCATACAATAAATTTCTTGTTTCCTGAAAGATGGGAGCTCACAAAATTTTTGAATTATCGTTCTTAAATATGCTAACAATTTTATTAAGATGGGGGTAGCATATATAGGGGGAGCATCCTGAACCACAGATGGACACAATTTGCGACATGTTTATGTCTACAATTAAACGTGAGCGTATGAAATAAAAGTCTTAGGCCTGTTGTGTTTATTAAAGATATAATTGGATTATCTGTTATACAGTACAGCATTAAATAGAAGATTTTTCAACAATGGTTTTATCTGAGGACCTTCATTTTCAACATTGACAATTCGTTTTTTGACTCAAATAAAAAAAAAAAACAACATATATTCTTAATACTCAAAAGATTGTAGTTTCTGTATGAACATTGGCTTTTTTTGCAGACCTCAACCTTTCAAGGAATGGGGCGAATGGTTAGCATGTGCGCGCTGTATCATAAGGTCTGTCATTGAGTCAACTGGCGTGGTTTCGATTCCCAAGTTGTACGTGACAAGGAGTAGGGCCGCTTGTCCAACCTCGTGGATTTTCTCCGGGTCCTCCGCTTTCCTCCCACTGTTAAAGACACCTACGCACAAGCGAATTATTGAAATAAAATTAAACCATATGTTAGTCTCAAAATGACCTAGTTTGTGTCAATTTGATACCCCATTTCTGTCTCACTTAAGGAGACAGACTCTTTTCAAGGAGACAGATTCTTCTATTTTTACTTATTTCAAAGAGAGATTGCCATTCCAAACCAAAAACAATCATTTTTTGAAAGATTGAAGCTTTAATATGTTTACATCCATTAATTAAATCAATTAGAAGGTCTGCATTGATTTTTATTTCCCACTATTATCACAAACAAATATGTGATAGATGGCTGTTGGCAAAAAACATAACATAATTACTTTTAAGTGCCTCCATAAAGTTGGCGGAAATTATTGTTTCAAAATGTCAAGTGAATTAGATTTCCTACATCTGTAACATTTAATCTCCTGTAATGGCATTGTTTTGACTGAACTGTCAGCGTAATCATCATTTGATACAAAATACGGTCCTGTCGGTATTCTGAAAACTAGTTAATGTTCTCGAAGCAATGGTGATGAGCATTAACAGCTTCCTTGTCCGTTGCTAAACTTGATAGCATTTATGGGTGATGGTTTTTGTTAGTCTACTAGCTCGTTTCAGACAAATTTCTGCTTGAAAACATTTGGTGCCAATTGACAACATTTGGTGCCAAATATTTTTCATATATATCTTTGCATCCCTTTTGAATTCCTTACCCCTAAAACTAAAGTCTGATGAAACATTAAAGATACATTATGGGAGATTAGATAAAGAGCTGGCAGTTCTCACTATAATGGTTAAAAACTAGATACATAATGTAAAGGGAATTTCCTGAAAATTTCAGTCAAATTAATCCACTCTGAACCGAGAATATAGCGATTGAATTTTGAGTCTAGCCTCGATCATCATTACTGAAGTCGGTACAATAAAATACATAGTCTTGATTATCCATTTTTACGTTTAATCATGAATGAGCGTGGAGCAGCAGACCGAGTTCCAATCCAGAAAATATTGCATGCTAACAATGCCATCGAGGGTTGATTATGGTCTGGATAAGTTAATAAATGTCTAATTAATATTTTATATAACATTTCAGGCCTAAAGAAAGACCTGCAATAGTCAGATTTAGCTCTTGCATAATGTATGTTTAAGGATATCTAACTTATCAACACTATCTTTAATAAGGACATAATGTGTGTTTTTTGATAAGGTGTGTGGTCAGCACTAAAAGAATATAGCTTCTCCAACTGTGATCTAGAAATTTGTGTGTCTTGACTGTGTCTCGTCTACATATAAGTTGAAACCCTGGGGTAAATAGCCAATTAACATATGAAGTGTTGCAATCGTTAATGAACTTGCCAAACAAGGTAATATACACCCAGCTTCCGCATCAACTCTCCATTCTCTATACTGGCATTAGACAAGAGAGAGAGAGAGAGAGAGAGAGAGAGAGAAAGAGGAGGAGAGAGAGATGGGGTTTAACCTCCACTTGATACAAACTACAGTAGGTCATTTTGGGACTAACATATGGTTCCAATTAATTTCAATAATTCGCTTGCCCATAGAGGTCTTTAGCAGTGGGAGGAAACCGGAGGACCTGGAGAAAACCCACGAAGATGGACATGCGACCCTACTCCAGACAAGCAGGGATTAGAAACCACACCAGTTGACCTTATGATACAACGTGCACACGTTAACCATTCGGCCATCCAAATCCCTCCGAAATGCGTAAGGAATAAGCTACTTACATGGTAACCATGCAGATGATTATCAAAATGTTTATTATTGGCCAGTGATGCAGGCCGGAGGGCCTGTCAAGGACAGCTGTCTAGTTGTTTGGATGGCACAAAAAAACAAAGTCCCATTTATACACATTGGCGTGCTGGTAAAAGATCCCTTGACAGTTGGAATTCTATATAAGAGTAGGTAGTAGTGCCGATGTCCGGGCAAAATTTCCCTCATAGCACACTGTATGGCGTATGCCCGTCTTCATTAGCCCAGTTCGGAGCAGAACAGTAGGACGTTAAACCCCATTTCATTTCATTTCAGTTTATTCTTGGCTGGTAAAAATAAACTCCAATTTCTACATCATCATTCTAATATAAGTCTGGCTGTAATTATTTCCTACAGAAAAAACTACTTCGCATATACACCCACTGCTCAGCTGCATAAAGAAATTGTAAAACAACACTTTTTATGAGAAAAGTGTCACGGTAGTGTGCTTTATCCTTTATCATCAGATGGTGGGATGGAATGGACATTCCAAGTGCGAGTTCATGATACATGATGCATTCATCATCAACATCCACACTGCTTATTCTCGCTCTGTTATATTTGGAATCATCATAATGGTGCAAAAATCTATTTAAGCTGTTTCACTACAGGCCTGGGACTGTACAACACAGTGGACGCTTACGGCTAACCCCCGGATCCATTCGCTTTATTTGAATTGTTCGTTTGTTTGTGATTTTCTGTGTATTGTGTCTTGTCCGTATATTTGTTTTTATGTAAATTAGGCTCTTGTCAATTTATCTGTGTCCCGGTGGATATTGGAAAAAAATAAATAGTTTATGTGATTAATTTTCTTGATATTTTGGTGTTTGACACAGTTGCGGTCAGTTTTTGTTTTTCTATTTTGCTTCCTTAAAGTTTCCTGTCAAAATCGTGCAGAACTGATTTCATTGCATATCAGTAAAACTAAAAACTAGTGTAGTAGGTACATGTATTTAGTATGTTTTTATGTAAAATCACAGTTTCTAAATTTTGTCAAAGTGACCTCGTCTGGTTACCCCAGATATGTGCGAAACTGACGATACAGACCATGTATTTCTCAAAAATTTTCAAGGCTGGGGGGACAGAACCCCCCCCCCCCACATCCCCTAAAACATACCCTGAGCAAAATGTCCCTCATAACACACTGTATGGTGTATGTTCGTTTTCATTAGCCTAGTCGAAGCAGAGAAAATCAGAATATTAAACCCCATTCCCATGGGCGGATCCAGGGGAGTGGGGGGGGGAGTGCTTTATCCTTTATCATCAGATGGTGGAATGGGATGGGCATTCAAAGCGCGAAATAATAATTATATAGACCTGTGACATCACAATTAATTATATAGACATGTGACATCACAATTAATGCTTTGCGTCAATGAAACTGAATCACAATGTGATCGTATTAATTCACAATACAAATTGACGTCAAACGGAGTGTTGGTTTTCTCTCTTTAAAAAGCTCAGTGTGTATGTATGCCTACGTAATTTAGAGACGATGATGGCATCATACATTGTCAACTGTCAATTTCTGTAACAGGAGCCTGGCAAACACCCTCCTGCATAAATTCCTGGAATCGCCCCCGATTCCATTTTCTATTACATGAATACAACGTAACTAGCCTCAAATATATAAAATTGTAATCAATACTAAGTAATACTAATATATAACATACGTGGGTTATTTATAATAACAACAATGTAATTCCTATTAGTGGTGTTAGGTCTATATTTTATACAGCTCTGTATAACTTGACCCAGCTAAATCAATACTTCTGTGTGAAATAAATCTTGTTCTTATTAAATCATGTAAATAAACTACTAACAGATAGGCTCAGTTTATACTGTAGTACCTCAGTCAGTTCTATTGGGAATCTACGATAACAAAACGTTATTCATGATGAGCCTCTCACAGAATCATAACAAAAACAAACCCAAAACTCACATTTGGTGCAGGCATTTAGATCGTTCAATTCCGAGTTGGTTAATTTGCTGGATCTTTTCCCCATAATCCGTTTAATTAAATGTTGCCATTAACGATTTAGCAACTATTTTATAGTTCCATACGTTGGTATCCTCCGCCATGGCATCAACAAATGATCTACATTGAACACGCGCGAAGCGAAGCTGTCACTGACACGTGACGTCAAAGCGCGCCAGATATTGACATAGCGATGGAGGCTTCTATACAAGAGTTACGCGTTATTTTGAAAAGGCAGAATCGTTGAATCGCTGTACTATAAAACCGCGATCTGGTAAAACTGCTTTATTTGAAAGCTTTGCACAGGAATGTGTACACATTTCCTATAGGTTTTTCGTCCCATCCGAACGACTAGTCAGCTGTCCTTGTCAGGCCCTCCGTCCAGCATCACTGACAAGGGGGAACCACGCCGGAAAATCTGAATGCAGTTATCGAACACCTGACATCCAGACTAGCGAGCCAGCGTCTTAGCCACTTAGCCCCCCCCCCCCTCACGAAAGATGTTTATCAAGATTATACTAACACACATTTAACATGGACCCCATATCAGGTATGTCCACGCAAGCACGTGAGAGAGAGAGAAATGGGGTTTAACGTCCACTCGAAACAAACTAGGTCATTTCGGGACTAACATATGGTTTAATTTTATTTACATAATTCGCTTGTGCGTAGGGGTCTTTAGCAGTGGGAGGAAACCGGAGGACCCGGAGAAAACCCACGAGGTTGGACAGGCGACCCTTCTCCTTGCCACGTACAACCGGGGATTCGAAACCACGCCAGTCGACTCAATGACAGACTTTATGATACAGCGCGCGCGCACGCTAACCATTCAGCCATCCAACCCCCCACGCAAGCACGTAAATGCCCCTATTGCCGCTATTGTTAAAAAAATGTTTTGTTCCCTAGTTTGCCTGATGTGGGGGGTCACGGTGGCTAAGTGGGTAAGACGCTGGCTCGCTAACCTGGAGGTCGGGTGTACGATCCCTGCATTGGCCGAGAAAGTTCATCCAGATTTTCCGGCGTGGTTCACCCTTGTCAGTGATGCAGGACGGTGGGGGGTGACAAGGACAGCTGTCTAGTTGTTCGGATGGGACGAAAAACCGAGGTCCCACGTAAAAGATCCCTTGACAGTTGGAATTCGATATAAGAGCAGGATCCTGCTAAAGACCCCTACGAGCAAGCGAATTATTGATATAAAATTGAACCATATGTTAGTCCCGAAATGACCTATTTTGTGTCGAGTGGAAGTTAATCTCTCTCTCTCTCTCTCTACCCCCTCCCCCTCTCTCTCCCTCTCTCTCTCTCTCCCATTGGGTCACTGTAAATACACCAACGCCCGGGGTCGTAAGTTTTCACCAAAGCGTATGGTAAACTCAAATCCTGTAAGATTTTTATTGGGACAAATATATGATAAAGACATTTCCCCATGGGATTATCAATATTAAATGACCTTGCCCACTAATCAGGATTATTGACCTTCCTGTACAATATAGGCGTTATATATTTAATTTTTACCGTCCATTTAACTCTTAAAGGCTCAATACCACTCTTGTTGTAACTGAATAATATGTCCCAATCTTTATTCTGGTCAACAAATTGTACTATTTTACAATATTCCAATTAATTGATGATACAAATTTCATCTTAACACACCTAATTTAAAAAATTGGAAAACTTCAACTAAATGATTTGAAAAGCCTGACGTATAGCTTTTCAAATGTGACTTGGATTTAAAAATATTTTTGAACTCTCTGGACAAGTAAAATAGCATGTAATGGATAATTTACACAGCAGGTAGGACACTTAAACATCTAGTACTTAGAATAAGCCTTTTTTTATTTTCTGGAGCTGTCAAGCCAGCAAGAGTGTTATTGTCCCTTTAAATATTTACCAATTTTCATCATCGTTCAGGTTTATTGGATTGGTAAAGTTGTTATTATTAATTAATTAGATCACAGTCACTAATTAATCCGACCATCTATCTGTATCTAATTAATTAGATCGCTGTCACAGTCTTTATTTTATTTAACATTTTTTAGATTAATTAAATTTCCTCACTGTTGAGTTCGATCATTTTGGGGTTAAAAAATAGGTGATATTATTAGAATCATCTGAATAAATCAATATCACCTATCGATTACTTGCAACTTTGTAATTAATTTTCTTCATCTTTCAGTTGACTATTAAGGTTTGCAGAATCGTTATTGTCTTGGTATTTTTTGACGAATTAAATCCTTTTATACGTGCATGTACCTCTAAACAACATTTAAAATTAGATTTCTTCTCTGTCTAGATTTCTGACAATGGTTTAGAACTTGAGGGGGATGAGGGGGGGGGGGCGAATGGTTAGCTCGTGCGCTGTATCATAAGGTCTGACGTGGTTTCGATTCCCCGGTTGTACGTGACAAGGAGTATGGTCGCCTGTCCAACCTCGTGGGTTATCTCCGGGTCCTCCGGTTTGCTCCCACTGCTAAAGAACCCTAGGCACAAGCGAATAACTGAAATAAAATTGAACCATATGTTAGTCCCGAAATGACCTAGTTTGTGTCGAGTGAAAGTTAAACCCTCTCTCTCGCTTGTATTTAATATCGGTTATTCACTGGGTAATGTTGTCGAGATCGCTACCGTGCAAGCAGACATTAAACCATCAGAAGCACCATCGAGGCGTGACGAGGACATGATAGCTTGTACAAAATCTCTCAACCGAGTAACTCAAATATTATGGGAGGCCAGCGCAGACAGGGGCCTGGTGATCCATGACTTTGCATGAGGAATAAGATGCCGTCCGGGCCCCCAAAAATAAAATATTTATATGTGTGTGCGGGGAAAGGGGAGGGTACCCCCCAGTGCCGCCGATTAATATTGGGCTAAAGTCGATTTGTAGCATATCTGACCCATGGTATATGTTTGATACTGGTTAAGCATTATGATTATGATTATAATGTTGAACACCGCATTGAAACCGCGTGATTTTTGCCATTTGTGAGCGGGGCGCAAGCACTCAAGGGCCGGGGCACAGAAACTCAAAAGCGTGACGCAAAGCTCATCATTACGCCCCTCTCACTTAGCCCCTGGGACCTTATTCACGAAAACTTAAACTAAGATACAATCGAAATTTTAAGAAATACTGCAATTCGATTGGCTGACCAGTAAAATCAATTTGCATATATCCAATAAAGTTGCAGTATTTCTTAAAATTTCGGTTGTAACTTAGTTTAAGTTTTCGTGAATGAGGGCCCTGAGCGCAGACTATTAACATTCTGAAAACTCCTCAGATTTGGCCCTCTACGTTTTCCTTTCCACAAATATTAGTGGAACAAGAACTCGAGTTGTGTATGAGCATCTGTACTCGCACTGTCACAATATCTGAGAGCCGCGGTGGTTCAGTAAATATCGAGTTCAAGGTCAATGTTCACTGTACAAACTGAATGTGTCAGCAGTTCAAAATAAGTACAGAATACACTTTTCACTATAATTATTTTGTAAAATTAAAATACGTATTTTGAACTGCTGACATAGGCATTTTGCAGCGTGAACAGGGAAATGATATTGGCAACGTTATTCTTCCATACTATGCATTTCAAGCAAAGCAAACATAACAATATATATAACAGTTAAGCTGTTTCGTGTCAATAATAATATAAAATGGAAAGTTTGAAGGATAAAGTTGTGATCATAACAGGTAATGTTACTTTGGCAATATTATAGCTAGCTACCAGTGTAGAATAACTTTATTTAAGACCCAGGACCGCTATAAAATTCACTACATAGGTATGTGGTCATCATGTAATGTATACTACATGTATGTATATCATATACAAAGAGAGTTAGTCTGAGCTTATAGTTTTTGTTCCAAAGAGAGAGAGAGGGAGAGACACACACACACTGGGTCATTTCGGGACTAACATATGGTTCAATTCTATTTCAATAATTCGCTTGCGCGTAGGTCTCCTTACCAGTGTGAGATTCCGATTTGACAGTTTTACGTATTTTTGAAACCGGTTTTAAAGTGTTTTGGTTCTATTATGCAAGATCTTTTTCGACGTTCCAAAGTAAACGTACGTTTCTAAGACCACTTTAGTTTTTATATTTTACGCTGACATTTTATTGTTTTAGATCTTCTTAATGCAGAAACGGAAAATTTTACTGTTTGACCTCCCGGTGACACAAAGAACAATGAATGAACTCGTTTGACCTTTGGTCCCGAATATCTCGAAAACGCCCTTACGGCGGCCTGATTACCACTCGGCTACGTATTCTACACAAAATGTTACTTTAGAAAAGTTGGGCGTGCTTTTGTGCCCATTAGAGAACGCCCCCCCCCCCTTCACTAAGCCTCCGGTCTATAATTTGAATATGACCACATACAAAAAGTCGCACCCTGGAAATATTATTTAATAACAGTAGCTGATTAGTTTTCCATTCACTTTGGATTTTACAGCTGCTCGAACATTAGCCTGCAAGTTAGTGGACTGGTTTTGTGAGACTGTGGTCTATTCAAGGGACCGGTTCAGAAATAAGGGACGGAATTCATACAATTAATTATTAGTTTCTTCACGATCTGGATACAGTCAAAACAAATGGTGTTTTTTTTTCAGGTGCTAGTTCTGGGATCGGCGAAGGAACGGCTGTTATGTTCGCGCAGTACGGTTCCCGTATAGTGTTAAGTGGGAGAAGTTCCGAAAATCTTGAACGTGTAGCAGGACGGTGCCGAGAAGTTGGTCTTACAGATCATAAAGTTAGTAGAGCACATGTAGATGTGACACATTTTTAAAATTTACCTATCCTTGCGTTCGCACCCCACCTCTCCGAAAAACACAACACAATACACTTTTAAGTGTGACAGAAAAAGTTGTATTTTCTTGAAAAAATAAAATCGTATCAGGTTACTTCTGTCATTCTACAAACCCAACCAATAATCAACCTTTTTTCAATACAGTAGACCAGCTCAATTTTTGCGTCACGAGATGTTAACAGGACTAGCGCTAATTCCAACCCTAACCCTAACCCTAACCAGGGACTTAGCCCTAATGCTTACCCTACCATCTCACCAACAATCACGTGCCCTAACCTTATTTAAATCTCGGCGACCTTGACAAAAATTGAGCTGGCCTTAACAAATAGATTTAGCCCACCGACCGGGCCTTAGCTATGCAGCTTGTGTGCCAATTGATAAGACCTGGATTAAGATATGTTTGCCCGCCCTATAGTCACCTACAGTAACTATCTATTCATTATTAATATCTGTGGGGATTGATGAATGGAAATACTACGTAAAAAACATATAATTTTACATGTAGCCTTAAATATACATTAATTAAGATTTTAATAAAGAGTTGGCCATTCTTGATATAAGAGTTCAAAATTAGATGATAAAAAAGAAGAAAATATTGAAAATTTCAGTCAAATTACTTTATTCTGAACGAACTTATCACTTTGGGAAGTTTGGACTAGAAATAGGCATCAACTGTCTCCGCGCCGTCTCCGAGAATTGCTGATCGTTTGAGTGACAAACGATAACTCCGTCCACATATTCACGATTATCAAGTAACATTCTCAATGCATACGGTACCTTCGATTGTCAGTCCTTTTATCGGCAGTCTCCGGTAGTGACGTCAGTGGTTAGCGGTAAATGTTAGCTTGGTCAGCCATTTAATGATTTAATGATTAAATGAACGACTGTTTAAATCCAAGCTGTATCCAAGGCATCCGAGGGTCTACAGAATTGATTTTGGGCTTGTTCTGTAAATAAAGATCTAATTAATAATTTTTGAAGACTATAGAAAGACTTTTGCAATAGGCATATTTACCTCTTAACTAATGTATCTTTAAAATACTCTATTTTGTTTCAGATTCTTATCCTTCAGGGAGATTTGGCAAATGACGATGTCAGAAAGAAACTGATAGATGAAACAATTAAAAAATATGGTCGGCTTGATGTTTTGGTAGGTTTATTCAATTTGGTTGACGAAAAGTGTTGCTTATTCTTCAGATAGAACGAAAAACCTGTGGTTCTTCCCTTGACTTTGACTGTGACTTCAGGAAAAACTTTTCCCTAGTAATAAATTAACCACATGTCAGTCTCAAAATAATGATGTACGGTGCATCAAGCATTGTGTCACTGATGCGCATTTCTTTAGTTCTTGACCGCTGGAATCCAATTCTTTATTCCTTATCCCAGAAGAGATACGCCCGTACCTTCAAGCCTATGGTTTTAGGTCAGATAAAGTCGATCAAAAAGTGTGGGATTTGTGATGAAAGCATGAAATTTAGCACATATTCTGATATTTTTGTTAAGAGTTGTAGTCATCGTAGCTCTGACGTCATTATTGTTGATATGGTTAATTGCCTAAGGGCTTTGTGTATAATTATTTCCATTGAAGTGACTCTTTGGGGTATATAAACTAATTGACTGATAATATTTGTTTTTGTCTGCATAGTTCCAGTTTAGTAAATAAATGTAGGTTTTGTTTCATTCGGTTTAATTATTTACAACAATAAACGATTGACTGTATTTTGCATGTTATCATTCCATTTATTCTAATAAATATTGTATTACCCCATACCAACGTTTAAACCAAGACTCAATCTGATTAAAATACAGATCTAGATTTCGTTTCCTTTTTTTTTTATATACTTTCGATGGCCTACACTACATGAAGTTCTGACCACACAAGGTACAATTTATGGATACACAATTACTGAGTTTGATACTAAGCGACGTTTTGATTGGCATTTAGTAAGGTACAATTTTATGCGTATCCATAAAATTGTACCTTACTAAATGCCAATCAAAACGTCGCTTCGTATTAAACTCAGTAATTGTGTATCCATAAAATTGTACCCTGTGTTAATATGTTCCAATTACTAAATGCCAATCAAAACGTCGCTTAGTATCAAACTCAGTAATTGTGTATCCATAAAATTGTACCTTGTGTTAATATGTTCAATTACTAAATGCCAATCAAAACGTCGCTTAGTATCAAACTCAGTAATTGTGTATCGATAAAATTGTACCTTGTGTTAATATGTTCAATTACTAAATGCCAATCAAAGAAGAAAGTTCTGACCAATTGTACTTCAATCGGATTAAAATACAGATCTATATTTCGTTTCGTTTTTTTATACTTTCGATGGTGTACACTACATGAAGATCTGACCCTTTCTAGTGGAAGGTCGCGTCAGGGGTCGTACCAGCGGCTTTTGACCCTGTGACCTCACACATTGATTAATGAATCAGCGTTGACGTTTCTAGTGGTTTACACAAATAAAACGAAATTTTGAACTATAAAAAACGAAACGAAATAGGATATCTGTGTTTTAATCTGATTGACCAAGACTACATAAACATATCAGATTTTTCTTCAGGTAAATAATGCTGGAGTATGTCATCTAGTAGATACTACAAAAACGACGCCAGAGCACTATGACGATATGATGAACACCAATACTCGTGCACCCTTTTTCTTGACTCAACATGCCATACCTCATCTTAAACAATCAAAGGGTATAAAAACAGTGATTCTCAAACGCGGCACACCTGAGATAATTTCTGACAAGTATATTTTAGGTCGGATGCCAATGACCCAATATTATTGGGTCAAAATGGTTGACCTAAAATTTCTGACTAGTATATTTTGGGTCGGATGCCTTTGACGCAATATCATTTGGTCGGTCCGACCCAAAAATTCTAACAGTGCAGTGATTCTCAAACGCGCCACACCTGAGATTTTCCTAAGTGTGCCGCGGAATTTTGAACGACACACTAAAAATAAAGAAAATGGATAAAACCACGTGATCCTAATTGAGTATCCATTGATGTCTACTGATCAGTTCATAGCTGTGTTTTTCTTTATTTAGTTTGAGTCATTCTGTATGTCTATGACTAGGCTGTGTCCACAGTTGTACACCGTCTGACTTTCCATTTTTTTATTTTGCGAAATTCTAATATTTTTCATATATATTTAGCTAGGTGTGCCGCTATTTTTTTTATGTGTTCCAAGGTGTGCCGTTGACAAAAGAGAGGTTGAGAACCACTGGTATAAAATATCATTCTTATCTGATTCCCTACATATTATTATAAGGGACATTAATGTTTACTTATATATTTTTTCGACAAGAGTTTTAGTTTTATGTCATTGGTAAAAGTGTTCATACATTTTTAATGTATAACAATATTGTTATTAATTGAATAGAATCAACAACGCCTAGTCTACCATGTAATACGGAAATTTGCAACACGTTTAAGCACAATATCTTTCTACATGACCTAACAATAAATTTTTCATTGAATAATTTTAGTTTTTTTACTGATAATTAAACTATTCAAGTAATGCGGGAATTTGAAACCGGTTTTAACATCATACCTTTCGTCTCCCTTTTTATGATTTTTTAAAGATATATGCATAAGCTAAAAACACCAGGATATACTCTAGAAAGCACCATTTAAATTACAGTCAGTTTTTTCAAAAGAAATTTTTCGAGCCTGGTTGGAGAGAACCCCGTCGTTCACCTCACGGAGCAAAGATAGGCCTGTCCTATCCTAGGTATCATATGTGTAATTTTATGTCAACTTCACAATTGTCATTATAAGTATAACATTTACTTGACAATTATCATAATTTTCATCTGGCCTTAAAACATTTTGCTTGGATTTGTGTTCCTGGTGTTATAAGCTTTCCACAAATGTATAGTTTGTTTAGTAGGGAGGACCTTGTATTCTCAAAACGGCTAAAAATGGTGCAAACCTCCAAAGGCTAATATCTTCGCTCGCAATGGAGTAATTTGAATGAAATTGTCAAATTATTCATTTTACATTATCTATTTTCGAACTAGTGTAGCAAGAATGGCTAGCGCTCTATCTAAATCTTACATAATGTATCTTTAATTGTAAGTTCAGCAACACTGAGCACCCTTTCAATTGGTTAGTACATGTCATATCAAACAATGAAATGACTATTATCTGACAAATTGGCCATTTTAGGAAATTTTGTCGCCATCTTGGATTTGGGGCACTCATTTTATATGATCAATGTTTCTGATATCTATTAAATCACTTTAGTTGACCAAATAGATAATTTGGCTTATATGGATCTGAACACGATTTGTTAGTAAACTTATGAACAGACATGAAAAAAAACGAAAATGTTGCTTTTTTCAGATTAATCTTTTATTTTAAAACTGATAGTATTGATTAAATCAGCAGATGTAGAATGACATTATGAACATTTTGAGCTATATTACATATCCATAGGTGAAACTGTTGAGGAGTTATGAAGGCTTCCCCGACTCGCACTATTTCAAATAAAAAAAACGGCGGTCAATTTTAAAGATGGCCGCCAAACTGACATTTGGCAAAGTGACCCGGAAGTCCATCGACCAATTTTGGACACTTTAGACCTAAGGCTAACTGAAAACCATAGTTAAACCAATTCATCAAATTGGTATTGAATATCTGCCTGCCACATGGACTAATATACATATACTATTCAAAAAAAGTAGGGGATATTTGATTTTTAAGTGTTATTAAAGTCACCTAATGAAACTGACGAAGAAACAAATGACAAAATGAAATGAAGTTCACATTCATCGATTTATTCCAAATGATCGTTAGACTAAGTAAGGCACAGACTGACCATTATAAGGGTAAAATGATACCCGGGGTCAAACAGCAAAGTTACCACAGCATCACAACCAAGTCAGTAACGGGTAATCCTCCTCTGTTTGCCAAACAAGCATTGATCCGACGTGGCATACTCCTAATGAGACGTCTATGGTCATTTTGGTCCAGATTGTCCCATTCCTGTTGCAACGCAGCAGCAAGTTCTTGGACATTGGCAGGACGTTGTTGACGTTGACGTAACCTCTGTCCAAGCATGTCCCAGACATGCTCGATGGGGGAGAGGTCGGGACTCAGTGCTGGCCAAGGTAATGTGGTGATGTTCTGTTGTTGGAGGTAACCTGTAACGATCCTGGCCCTGTGACATCTTGCGTTGTCATCCTGGAAGATGAAACGGCGGCCATGACGTCGTGCGAACGGCACAACATGGACTGCCAAGATGTTGTCCCGGTAGTACTGGCCTGTAACACGCCCTGCAACAACATGTAAAGCCGTTCTTCCAGCAACAGTGATGCCTCCCCACACCATAACAGAACCACCCCCAAATCGATCATGTCTGATGACGTTAACGTCTTGGAAGCGCTCGTTTCGACGACGCCACACCCTCCTACGTCTGTCCAAAAAATCAACAGTGAACCTTGACTCATCTGAAAACATCACATTGCTCCAGCGTCGATTATCCCAGTGTTGACGATCCCTACACCAACGACGTCTTGCCTGAATGTGATGATCTCTCAAACACGGGATCACGCGAGGACGTCGGGCGCGAAGGTGACCCCTATGCAGTCGATTCCGAATCGTCTGGCCACTCACTCTCACACCAGTGTCTGTTTGAAGACGAGCGCTGATCTGATTTGCTGTGATGACACGATTTCTCAAGGCCAAGGTACGGATAAATCGATCCTGGGCTTGAGTTGTCGCCCATGGTCGACCTGAGCGTGGTCTGTCCTGTACATATTGTGTATCACGGTATCTGGACCATAGCCTGCTTATGACAGACTGAGAAACATTCATCGTCCGCGCCACAACCGCCTGTGTTGTGCCGATCTGTAGCATGCCAAGGGCACGTAACCTTTCATTTTGGGTAAGCCGACGCATATCAAAATTTGTTTTCTGGTCACTAAAACAATTAAACTGATGTTTCCACCCTGGAATTCAATGCCACAATGACTGTAACATTCAAAGTCAGAGTCGTGCCAATCTTGGGTTGGACCCCCATGATGATCCCAAGCATCACCTGCATTCCATGCGGTAGCTATTGGTGCGTTTGGGCGTCACATGTAACTGGAAATGTTTCTTCTGTTAGGTTCTATAGTGACTTTTTTCGTAGTCATTTGCATATTTTAGTATTATGCCCCCAAAATCAAATATCCCCTACTTTTTTTGAATAGTATATTACATTATGGTCATCATCAAACTTATAAGTTCCATCTATGCATTGGCCGAGAAAGTTCATCGGGTTTTTCCGATGTGGTTTCCCCTTGTGATTGGTGCAGGAATGAGGGCTTGACAAGGACAGCTGTCTAGTCGTTCGGATGGGGCGAAAAAACGAAGTCCCGTGTATACATTGGCTTGCACGTAAAAGATTCCTTGGCAGGTGGAATTCGATATAAGAGTATACGTAGGCCATGTACCGCTGCCCGAGCAAAATTTCCCTCATAGCGCACTGTATAGCGTATTCCCGTCTTCATTAACCCAGTCGGAGCAGAACAGTAGGGCGTTAAACCCCATTTCATTTTATTTCATTTCAAACTTACAAATTTCCACATGTATCGTATCAAATATAAATTGGCTGGCACCAAAATAGCATTTGTTTACAATGACGTTGCAAAGAGGTAACCAGTGGACATTTATTCCGGAGAATAAATTGCTAGAATATCTAAATTAAAGATACATTATGGGAGATTAGATAAAGAGATGTCAGTTCTCACTATAATAGTTAAAAACTAGATAATATAAAGAGAATTTGCTGAAAATTTTAGTCAAATTGATCCAATCTGAACCGAGAATTTAGCGATTGAATTTTTGGCCTAGCCTCGATCATCATTACTACAGTTGGTACGGTAAAAACATAGTCTCGATTATCCAGTTCATGATTAAGTCATGAATGAAAGTTGAGCAGCAAATCGGATCCTAATCAAGTAAAAATCGCAGGCTAGCGATGACATCGTGAGTTGATAGTGGTCTGGATAGGTTAATTAATGTCTAATTAATAATTTAGATAAGATTTCAGGCCTAAAGAAAGACTTGTAATAAGCAGATTTAGCTCTTGTATAATGTATGTTTAATATACAACAATGTATTTTGTTATGCATTGGCTCATTGCTTCTTTCTGTTCATGTGTCTAGGTAATATTATCAACGTGTCAAGTCAGTTCTCGGAAATGGCGGTAAGTTTAAACAAATCTTTAAAATTTAAAAATATTTCTTCTTGACAACCCGGAGAACGGCCAAAATTTGGATAAACTTAGAGATACGTGTGCTTCACGAAACATTACAGAATTTTGGCAAATGGGATTCTCCCATCTGTACCACGTATCCGTATCCGTATCGTCACGTGATACGTTGCGTCAATGTAGTTTTAGAGTTTTGGCAGATTTTCGCTCATCAAAAGTAATGATTAAATTCCAGTCTTTATCATGGTAATATCACATCAAATATACGCCTTCATGTTCTCTAGGATACACATAGATTCATAAAAAAGCTACGGCACAATATTTCAGCGTCTAAAAGTAGCAAAAAAGACGACGATGTTATATGGACCTTTTCCGTATGAAAGCTGTTCGATACGTGCTGACGTATCCGTGTGCTGTATCACGTTTGGGAAATACACACGCATTGATGACGTCGCACGCAAAATCGATACGGATACGCAATATGGACCAGGAATTTACGCTTGCCAAAAGTCTCTGTTTAGGTTACCAGAATCTGCCGAGGTTTGCCGAGTGCTGGATATACATCCAAACGCTGGTCCCTGTATTAGTTGGGGATACATTGTTTTAGCAGATTTCCAGTGTACCGTCTGTTGTATGCATAGATTACAATAAATACATTCGTTAAGATTCACTACCTAATTGGTCAACTTGTTTAGCTGAACCCATTTGTTTTAATATTAATAAAGCGAAGAAATTCCAACTAATCCCGTTCAAGGATATAGGCCACATCAATCTGTTTCACAGAGAATTACGAAAGTCTTTCATCTTTGTAAAAGATGACTGCCTTCAACACGTGACGTCACAGTACGCGACGTCAATCATTGGCTGAATGGCGCGTGCATTGTTTACATAAGACGTTAACTGCTTCGGGCAGAATGCTGCCTTTTAGTCATTTTAATACCCATTTAAACTAAATAGAAAGTAATTTTTACCTGCAAATACGTCTTTATTTATTTTTCTAATACATCCAAAAAATGTTTTAGAATTTAATTTGTCGGTGGAAAAAAGTTAATATTTGAGACTCATTAAGTCGCATTGATGTCATCCTTATCAGTGATTGTAGCAGCCTAGCAAATATTTACTTCTGATCAGTGTGAGGCTACATATGGAAAGATAGTAAAATCCTATGCTAACAGCAAGAACAAATTTAACGCGTCCAACATGCTGTCTGTGATATCGCTACCATGGAAGCAGACTTTAAACTTCAACCAGTCGTTATTATACACAATCTGATTAAAACACAGATCCTATTTCGTTTCGTTTTTTTATAGTTCAAATTTTACTTGTCTTTACTACACTAGGATCTGGAAGAGTTGTTATATAACCCGCGTTCCGGTTGATGTGAGGGATTAGCCAGTGTGAGGGATTAGCTAATGAAACGGTCTGTTGCAGTGAGTTCTTGGCGTGCGATGCATGGAACTGTGGGTATCCTATTAGAAACATCAACGCTGATTCGTTAATCAAATGTCTGACGTCATATGATCAAAAACCGCTTGTATGACCCCTGAGGCAACCTCCTACTATAACTTGTCAGATGTTCATGTAGTGTAGGCCATCGAAAGTATAAAAAACGAAACGAAATATAGATCTGTATTTTAATCAGATTGTATCAATTGTTTTGTTTACAGGTTCCACAGATGTATGGTGTTTATTGTATGACTAAAGCAGCCGTGGACATGTTTACAAAATGTTTATCACTTGGTAAATCAATATATTTTATACAAGACTATACTAACTAACCCTTGAATGGAAAATAGTGTTATTAATAGCTTATTCTCTTCAAGGTGAAGGGGACATTTTAACAGTTTGGTAGAAACATTATAAAGTTATACCATTAATTGTGATCCATCATGTAGGAATTCGACACCCTTAAAAAATATTGATCATTACATCTTACTTTACTACGTGTATCTCCTAGTTGTATTTCATTATTCCTTTTTTTTTCATTGAAGAACTTGGACCGTTTGGAATTAGAGTAAATTCGGTCAAGTAAGTCGCCTTTTCTCATACAATTTTGTTAAATTAAGAAGTCCTATATTAGTTTATTAGAGATATAAACAAAAAAAAGACATCCCATTCTTTTTGACAAGGTCCTTTTTATAATGAACAAGTCTGTTTGTGATGACCTCATCCTTTAAAAACGACGAATAAATTACAGGTTTAACAATGCTGGATATTTTACCAGTAAACTGTCGGAAGTTCCAGGTTGGAATTTGTATTTCTGTTTAGTAATTCGCAAGAGACACAATGACAAAATCGATGTATCAGAATAGGAATATCAAAATTATGCAAAACGGAATACCCGTTTCCTGAACTAGATCCGGCACGGAATTTAACTATGACACCATGTAGCAATAAGGTTCTCATTTTCCCCATGTACCGAGAGAGAGAGAGTAGAGAGAGAGAAATGGGGCTTAACGTCCACTCACTCGACACAAACTAGATCATTTCGGGACTAACACATGGTTCAATTTTATTTCAATAATTCGTTTACGGGTAGGGGTATTTAGCAGTGGGAGGAAACCGGAGGACCTGGAGAAAACCAACGGGGTTGGAAAGGCGACCCGACTCCTCGTCACGTACAACCGAGGAATCTAAACCACGCCAGTTGACTCAATGACAGGCCTTATGATACAGCGCGCACGTGCTAACCATTCGGCCATCCAACCCTACCGCTCCGCTCATGTACCAAGGGAGACATTAGGTGGAGAAGGGCTGGTTGCAAGCAGTGGGGATCGTTGTCTCCCTATCATAAATTATACAAATATATTTATTTTCAGTCCTGGTTCCGTTGCAAGTAACCTAGAGAAAAGGGGTCCTACTGGTCTATCAGAAGAAACTTATAACTACGTAAGTTGCATTTGGACGGTTTTCTATTCGGATAAAAATAGGTCTATCTTATAGACTGCACCAATCTATCAATAATATTAGTTGATCTGTCTTTCTTCGTTCGTCCATTTCTCTCTTTTTTCCAATCTTTTTGTGTCATTAAATATATTTTTTTCACTCTTAATTGTTCCTGTTGTCACAGAATCCACCGTTATTGTCTGGTATCTTCTTCAATAATAAATTGGTCATAGTGAATGGTAGTGTCATAACTAAATGTGTTTCTTTCTTTTTTCATGAAAAGTTTTTGTCTCTGGAGAAACAACGTCATCCAATTGGTCGTGTTGGAACAGCTGAAGACATAGCTTGGGGTATTGTGTTCCTGGCGTGTGATCGATCCTCATTTATATCTGGTGAACGCATGTTTATTGATGGTGCCAGTCATTGGGTAACTGGCAGTGTGCAAAATCCAGAATAATTTCGTTTGACAATTGATGAAAGTAGACCTAAGAATTGGTAGCTTAAAGGAGCCAAGTCGCTGATATTCGGGACCTAGAATTTGACACAAATATAATAATGTAATATGAATGTATATAAACTGATTTACATTCAATCGTTTCTGTTTTTACTGCAATTTCTAATCAGTTATATTCGGCGAAATACGCCAGAAATCTCGATCGAATAGCAATCTCTAGTGTCTTGTTATTGCAGTCTACACCGATAGTATTTATTGCGTATGCTCGCGAGATAAGAATATGACGTCACCGTTTGACATGACTTGTGGAATATGCCTAGCCTTGTTCTTCGAGTCCCTTATGACGCTGAAACGGATTATGGTACACGATTCGTGTACCAATGGTAAACTGTTTATTTTGTCTTAAATATTGGATATCAGAAGCCCATATATATTCCCGATAAGATCACATCATCAATGTTGATTTAAATTGACAAATAATTTTTGTTTTCAATGTCGAAGAATTTGGATGATTTTGAGTTAGAGACTTACCTACTTTAAGTGTATTATATATTTCCAAATGAATAGTTTCACTGCCGGTATATTATCTGAAAGAAAGTTAAATAATAACAAAGTTTAGTCCTCGGTCTGTCGTCATCAGGCACTAACGTCACGATATATCGTCTTCCTTATTGTTCACTCAGTGTTTCTTGCAATCAGCCCTTCTCCACCTAATGTCTCCCTTAGTACATGAGCGGAGCGGTAGGGTTGGATGGCGAATGGTTAGCACGTGCGCGCTGTATCATAAGGCCTGTCATTGAGTCAACTGGCGTGGTTTCGAACACCCGGTTGTACGTGACAAGGAGTAGGGTTGCGTGTCCAACCTCGTGGGTTTTCTCCGGGTCCTCCGGTTTCCTCCCACTGCTAAAAGACCCCTACGCGCAAGCGAATTATTGAAATAAAATTAAACCATCTGTTAGTCCCGAAATGACCTAGTTTGTGTCAAGTGGACGTTAAATCCCATTTCTCTCTCTCTCTCTCAGTGTTATGATATGTTAATCTGTTATTTGAAGAGTGTCTGCAGTATTGAAATTTGACATTCGAGATCTCGATCAATTTTATTGTAAGCCAATCTGATTAAATCACAGATCCTATTTCGTTTCGTTTATTATAGTTCAAAATATCGTTTTAGTTGTCTTTGCTACACTTCACGCAGCACACTGATCAGCAGTGAATATTCACTAGGCCTCTACAATCACTAAGGATGACATCAATGCGACTTTTATGAGTCTCAAATATTAACTTTTTTCCAACGACAAATTAAATTCTAAAACATGGTTTTGATGTATTAGAAAAATAAATAAAGACGTATTTTTTGGTAAAAATTATTTCTTATTTTGTGTAAATGGGTATTAAAATGACTAAAAGACAGCATTCTGCCCGAAGCAGTAACGTCTTATGTAAACAATGCACGCGCCATTCAGCCAATGATTGGCGCCGCGTACTGTGACGGCACGTGTTAAAGGCAATCATCTTTTACAGAGATAGTATAAGACCCGTAATTCTCTGTGAAACATATTGTTCACGCAGTGTAGGCCATCGAAAGTATATAAAAAAAACGAAATGAAATATAGATCTGTATGTTAATTAGATTGAGGGTAAGTCAGCCTATATATTGTATTAAGATTACCACCTGTGGTACTTGGGACCTAATATATATGTACACGAAGTATAATATAAACCAGTTTCTAATATTTATGTATATTTATGTTAACATGATATAAATTGGCCGAAGTTAATAAAAACTTTTAAAAATGCCAGGAACTTATTTATTTATATAAAGCAGGGTTTATTAACATCTTATGTCATAATATATTTTAGATTGAATGATGTTAAATATATTACAATAATAAAACCATCATTTATTTCGGAAAAGGCCTCTTTTACCCTACTCTTTGTCACGTACAACCGGGGAATCGAAACCACGCCAGATGACTCAATGACAGACCTTATGGTGCAGTCCGCATGCTCTCTCTCTCTCTCTCTCTCTCTCTATCTCTATCTCTGTAACAAATCAATTTATAAGTTTTTATTTATTTACCAGCGAGGACTCTGGTCCAAATTAGCCAGGTCCGAATCATCCGATTAGTATAAAATGGAAATGCCAGGTGGGTGGGTGAGGTTATAATTTCTCGGAGCTCCTTTGATAATACTGCACTCCGATTTTTGGCACAAAACAGACGCGTCTACAACTAAATTGTTGTTTTATTTCCAAAGTCAGCCTAGTTAGTGGGTAGTTAGGTAATTCGACGTGCCTTCGGTTAAATGTGAGCGTAGCCTAGTAGCCTATTTTAAAAAAATAGTTCCCAGTCATTCAGATGGGACAAAAAAAACAACATCCCGGGTAAGAGTAGTCAGTAGCGCCGCTGTCCGGGCAAAAAATTTCCTCATAGCACATTGTATGGTGCATGCCCGTCTTCATTTGTCCAGTTGGAGCAGATCGAACATCGGGTCGAGTTATATATAGCTGTGTGCGCAAATTAAATTCTAAAACAAATTTTTAAATTATTAAAAAGATAACTGGAAGCATATCTGGACATTTAGTGTAAATAGATACATAAAATAGTACAGAAAGGCGTAAAATGAGTAAAAGTCATCCTCTACAGAGTTAAAAGACGGCTGTCGCATAGCCGCTGTGAAACAGAATGATGTCAATAACTGTATCGTGGGCATGACGTTCGAGAATATCATAGACAGGAAGCGATAACTCTGGCTCAATCCAAGGGGAGATAATAAAATAAATTTACGACTTAAAATTTTGTGATACAAACAGAAAAAAAAGTATCATAAATGTATATCTAATAGGCCGATATCTGTTATATCTTTATCCCAAACCATGGCCAGTGCTAGTGGCTCTCATTCTGGCGGGACCGTTACAGAAACTGTTGAAAACGAACAAGAAGAGGTAAGTAGGCCTATTTACTATTATAATGATTATGATAAATACGTCTCGTCTAGTTAGTACCGGTAGTGTAGGACTAGTGGAAACTCGAACGTCAGAAACAGAAAATCAGAGAAGAAAAGGAGGTTCTCAATCACGTTAATACAGAACAGTTCACACATAAAAAGATTGGATGATAAGACCACAACAGGATTTTATATTAAGACAGTTTATGAAACAAAACATTTTTGACATTTGTAGCCTATTCTTGACTTAAACCTAAAGGGGCATTATGGGAGATTAGATAAAGAGTTGACAGTACTCGCTATAATAGTCAAAAATTAGATAACGTAAATAGAATGTGCTGAAATTTTCAGTCAAATTGCTCCACTCTGGACCGAGACATTAGCTTTTGAATTTTAGGCTAGCTTCGATCATCATTTCTAAAGTCGTTATGATAAAAAAACAAAGTCTTGATTACCCATTTTTACGTTTAATCATTTTTCACAAAATGTATTAAAATAAAATCCCCTAAATATCTCAGGCTAATGATGACATGGAGAGTTGATTATGGCCTGGATAAGTTAATTAATGTCTAATTAATAATTTAGATAACATTTCAGATATTCCACTGTCTGGGCAAAATTCTTTGAATTGAATCCTTTCCATTCCTTGATAACACAAGTAAATATTTAGCTACTGATTTAATATATTTATATACGTAATAATAGCAACTCAAATTGTATATTTACAATTTCTTATTTTACAATTTTCAGGAATTACCAGTTTTACAACTGAGATTACACAAACCGAAATCTGATAAGAAAGTTAAATGGACCACTGGAACTGTTGATAATGAAAATTTAAACAAAAAGAAATCAAAATGTATGTTTTTTTTATTTTTATAGGCCTACATTACTGTTCTGCTCCAGTCGGGGCTAATGAAGATGGGCATACACCATACAGTGTGCTATGAGGGAAATTTTGGCCGGGCAACAGTGCTATGGCTTACTCTTATATCGAATTCGAACCGCTAAGGGATCTTTTACGTGCACGACAATGTGTACACGGTACCTTAGTTTTTCGTCACATCTGAACGATTAGACAGGTATCTGTGTCAGGTCCTCTGTCCTGCATCACTGACAAAGGGGAACCACGCTGGAAAATCTGGATGAATTTTCACGGCCAATGCAGGGATCGAACACCCGGCCTCCAGGCTAGCGAGCCAGCGTCTTACCCACTCGGCCACTGTGGCCCCCTGGCTCATACATGTATCTGTTTGTTGGCCAACTTTTGTGTCTGATGAGTGCATGTTTCATTGCCTGGCAGCCTATATTTGAATTGCATCAATCTCTGTTTCTTGTAGGCTGCCTGTAATTATTTCAAAACAATCGTGTTAATATGCATGTAGTTTTGTTTGTTAAGACTTACACAGAATATAGAATATGTGAACTGATATCAAATTCATTTATATGTAGTACACAGCAATATGCAGTATGGAAGATAATTTTAATATCACCATATTAACCTAATACATGTACATATTCGATTAAATATTTATACCCTCACCACAAGGTATTCATAGGATCTTTGATTGGCATTTAGTAATTGAACATAATAACACAAGGTACAATTTTATGGATACACAATTACTGAGTTTAATACTAAACGATGTTTAGACGAGGATACTCTTGTCGTTGTCAAGCAAATGATACAGATATATTACGCAATGTCTTAAGAGGGCAAGTATATTAGATTATGCAACAATTTGACATTTTTAATTCTTATTTTTGTTGAATATTCTGTATATATTTGCCTACTATTCACATACCTGTATCATTTGCTTGATAAAGATGAGAGTATCCTCGTCAAAACATCGCTTAGTATTAAACTCAGTAATTGTGTATCCATAAAATTGTACCTTGTGTTATTCATAGGATATTTAGAGCTGTCGTTCTGTCCGTATGATATCCTATTTTTGACATTAAATATTTTTTCTGGAAACTAACAAAGTATAGATATTGTTTCCTTGATCATGATAACCAACAGAATCATTGTGTAAATGACAGTTTTAATTGTATACATCCTAGATTGCCAGGTGGGGTGGGGAGCGGGGCCGAATGGTTAGCGCATATGCGCTGTATCATAACGTCTGTCATTGAGTCATTTGCTATGTTTTGAATTCCCTGGTTGTACGTGACAAGGAGTAGGGTCGCCTGTCCAACCTTTTGGGTTATTTCTGGGTCCTCCGACCTCCAGTTTCTCCCCACTGCTAAAGACCCCTACCTTAAGCTCCATATGTCTCTCTTTCACTCTCTCTCTCTCTTTCTCTCTCTCTCTAAATTGTCATTAAAGAAAATACTAGGTAATATTGATATATAATTAAAGGTTGCTGTATTTATGAAAAACCACGAATGTTTGGAGAATCGTCATCAGAAGATGAAGATGATGGATGTACACATAATTGTAAAGGACATAAAAAGAAATGTTATCAAAGTCATAATGGTGATCATGGACCAGGACAAGGTAGGGTTTTTTTTGTCATTTTTAT